ACTGATCTTGGTCATCTGGAGATCAGTTGTAATAGCTGGGAAATTTTCTGTAGGGGAAATGATGTGCAGTGGCTGGGGAACACGGTGATTTCTGAGAAATCTCCAGGCCCCACAGGGAGACTGGCAACTCCAGTGACTGTTTAAGGAAAGACTGGGATATGTATTTTACCTCAGGACACATTCAATGACTCCCAACAGCAACAGCAAACTGTTTAGAATGTCAGAGGCAAAGGCCAATCAGGCCGCATATGCAAATGACATCTGTGTTCTGACAGGCTATGGGGGGGGAGCAAACTGTTTGGAATGTTGGAGATGGGACTCAGGCAATGAAGCCAGTGGATAGGGACAGCTTCTAAGTGACACATAATGGAGCCAACTGATTTAGGAGCGTGTGGAATGTTCAGAAAGTGCCACCCCACTACTCAATTATATAAAAGGAGAGATACCATTTTCAAATCCTTTGTAGTTGCACAAAAACAAAACTTAGTGAACAAATATTAAATGTGTGAAATTAAACTTCAGTTGGCATCACTACTTAAAGAAAAACTGTCAACTCTAAACTTCCAAAAAGAGATCTTTCTTTTAAAGGAAAAAAAACTTACTGACGACGGTGCATTCCAAGTAATTTCTGAAATTCTTTCAAGTCCTTCTCAAGTACAGGATACTCATACACATCATCTAATACATTCCTGTATATTGTCTTTTTTTAAGGAGAGAGAGAGAGAATGAGAGAGAGAATGGATATGAATCAACCAAACTGACTGGAGATAGAGTATAAAACAATGTACCTTTATCTTTCAGGAAATCAGTTTTTAACTTGTTAAAATAAAACTTCATGAATGCTATCAAGCTGAAATTTTACACTGCATAATTTCTCTGAAATGCAGCCAATCAGCAGTCACTAGTGTCTTTAGAGGCAATTTTTGTACTATTCCTAAGTAATAGTGCTGAAAGTGTCCTCATTAGCTGTGTAAAAAAATTCAAGTGACATTTCAGAACATTACTTAAAGCCTACCATAAGTTTGCAAGCATATGTCACTTCAGCATAGATACACAAAATGCATCTTATTTTCCACTATTCAAGAGCCAAAAATGAAACAGAACTACTAGTAGTTCAGAATTCAGAGCACAATCCTAAGCAGGACAAATCATAAGTAAGTCACATTTTATTCAATGGGGCTTATTCCCAGGAAAGTATTTGTGACATTACAGCTTTTGTTAACAATTCTACACTGTTCTGAATGATTCAAATATAGTAATCAAATTCACACCTAAGCATCCTTTAAAATAGATATCAATACATACATTAAACTTTCTGGTCTCTATTATAACAACAAAAACCCAGGTCACATAGAGACAATGTAGTCTTTACCTTCTTGAGAGACTCCTCAGATATGCACAAAAAATTAACCAAAAGGGAAAAACCCCTTAAAGCAGGGGTATCAAACATGCGGCCTGTGGGCCAGATCAGGCCCTCTGAGGGCCCCAATATGGCCTGGCTGTTTTCTGCTTTCTTTTCCAGTTCTGCTGCTGCTGCCGCCATGTCACAGCTTGCTTTACCAGTCTCTCTCAATCACACAGGAGAGATAGATAGGCAAGCCTCTCCTGTGTGATTGAGAGAGTCTGGTAAAGAAATGGCTGTCTCCTCCCCCTCCTCCTCCCAGGGGGAGGCAGGGAACAGCCAGAGCTTGCTTCCTGGCCAGGCTGCAAGAGACAAAGGGAAGCCTTTCTTTCCTTCCACTGGCTGAGGGTTCTGCCTGAAGAAAGGGAGGGAGGGAACAAGGTAGAGCTTGCTTTGCTGGGCTGCCTCAATCACACAGGAGAAGAAGAAGAAATTGGATTTATACCCCACCCTTCACTACCCAAAGGTGTCTCAGAGCGGCTTACAAACTCCTCTCCATTCCCCTCCCCACAACAGACACCCTGTGAGGTAGGTGGGGCTGAGAGAGCTCTTGACAGAAACTGCTCTTTTTCAAGAACAGCTCTAATCAGAACGATGGCTTGCCCAAGGTCATCAAACCCGGTTCTCCCAGATTAGAGTCCGCGTACTTATCCACTACACCAAACTGGCTCTACCAGGCACCTTTAAGACCAACAAAGTTTTGTTCACGGTATGAGCTTCTGTGCGCCTTGCTACAGTATGAGTGTGTTTTGTTGGGCTCTTTATGCCAGGGCTCTCCTGGATGCAACTCGGTTCCCTCCCCCTTTTCACTGTATTCATGCCCTCATGATCCAGTCTATCTCAGTAAGAAAGTAATAGGAACAATTTTACAAGAGGAATAACAACAAACCAGTGAGGTGGATTAGGCCAGAGTGTGTGTCCAGACCAAATTCACCCTTCACATTTCCTTTGTAGGAAGTTGTAGTTATTTCTCTGGGGAAGACTATAGTTTTGTAGACAAACACATGGGCCCTCAGTCTGAGCCAGGATGCCTTCTCATGTTCTTGACCAGCACATGAGCAACTTATGTACAAGAGCTCACAATGCCCAGCCATTTCATGTTTTCTCCTGGGTCCTAATGAATGTCAATAAATCAAAAGTAGGTTTGCAGCTTACAGATATACAAATGCACACTTGAATGGCATACTCAGGATTGCTACAGCACAGACGTTTTGATGCAATAATTCAGAGCAAGAGGTGTCAGTTATCAGACACTGTTAAATAGACAAAATATTGCAAGACTGCTAATGTTTTAAGCATGTTTTATTTAAAGTTTTTAAAAAATCTTTAATTGTGTTTGTCTGTGCCCTTTATAAAGTTTATATCTTCGCTACCTGGCATTACATTTTATGACACACATGATCCAGTCCAACAGGGTCTTATTTATGTCAGATCTAGCTGTCATAAAAAATTAGTTTGACACCCCTGCCTTAAAGCTTGCCTTATGAGGTCTAAATAGGTTCCAGAAAGAATGCAATATCCAAAGCATGTAAGTGGAAGCTAAAAAAGCTGGGGGTGGGGGTGAGATGGGGCAGAAACATCAGCATGCTGAAGCCCCAAGAGCTCATAAAGTCAGAGGGGGGAAATTTGACCAGCTGAGTGAGATTTTCAAATTGTTCTTCTTCTTCCCACAAGTCAGGACCCCAGAATGTAATTGTAAGCTCGTTGGCCACTGTCACAACATCTCAAACATGGGCAGATGAGACCTGATATACTATAGACCTGATATGCTATAGAAGGGAAGAAATGCTGAAAGCAGCTGATTTATTTGTTTAGAATATTTCTATGCTGCCTCTTCAGACTGCTGTTTGAGGCAGCTTACAATTTAAAACTACAGTATAAAACACAAGCCATTAAAAACCACAAATAGCATAAAACCAAGCAAACCATTAAAAAGACTGAACTGTAACAATCATACCGAAGTACAATTAGTGGCCAACTTTTGTGACAAGTGTGTTAGAAACCTAGTTCATATATTAGCCAGTTTGAGTCTAGTGCATACTTTAGTAGACATGGAGCTGCTCTCACTCTGGTGCTGGCATGATGATGCCTCTAGTTTACTGCATTGGGTCATCCAATGGTTCCACTGCCTCCCTGGCTGGTTTTCTGCTACTAATGTATTTGAAGAAATTTTTATTGTTGGTCTTAAATGTTTTTTGCAATATGTTCCTCATAGTCCCTTTTTGCCTGTCTGATCATTTTATGTGCCAAAGCCCATGCTCCATTTTATTTACCTCACTTGGACTAGCCTTCCACTGCTTAAAGGAATCCTTCTTACATTTTACTGCTTCCATTACATTGTTTGCTATTATGCATGCCTTTTTATACCTATTTGTACCTTTCCTAACCTGTGGTATACACTTTATCTGAGCTTCCAGGATTGTAGTTTTAAATAGTCTCCAAGCTTCCCAAAGGGATTTGACCCTCCTTACCCTTCAGTTTCTTCTTCACAAGCCCCCTTCATTTGAGAAAAGTTACCCCTTCTAAAGTTAAAAGTTGTTGTGATGGTCTTTTTGGGCAACTCCCTATTTACATACATGCTAAACTTAATAGCATTATGGTCACTGCTCCTAACTAGTGCTATTACATTTACATCTCTCACTAGGTCTTGAGCATTACTTAGCACCAAGCCCAGAGGAGGGCAACAAAGATGGTGAGGGGTCTGGAGACCAAGTCCTATGGGGAAAGGTTGAAGGAGCTGGGTATGTTTAGCCCGAAGAGATGACGACTGAGAGGTGATATGATAACTATCTTCAAGTACTTGAAGATCTGTCATACAGAGGATGGTTCAAAGTTGTTTTCTGTTGTCCCAGAAGGTTGGACCAGAACCAACGGGTGAAATTAAATCAAAAGAGTTTTCGGCTAAACATTAGGAAGAACTTCCCGACAGTTAGAGCAGTTCCTCAGTGGAACAGGCTTCCTTGGGAGGTGGAGGGCTCTCCTTCTTTGGAAGTTTATGGGGGGGAGGTATTTGTGAATTTCCTGCATTGTCCAGGGGGTTGGACTAGATGACCCTGGAGGTCCCTTCCAACTCTATGAATCTATTATTCTAAGTCCAGAATTACCTCCCCTCAGTAGGTTCTGTAACCATCTGCTCCATGGCACAGTCACTGAGAGTTTCTAGAAATCTAATCTCTTTCTCCTGATTTGAACACATATTGATGCAGTCACTGTATGGGTAGTTAAAATCACCCATTACGACACAGTTATTTCATTTAGCTGCTTTCCTTAATTCTTTTGCTGTTTTTAAGTCATCCTCTAACCTTTGATCTGGTGGGTGATAACGAACTCCTAGAGTTAAGCTTCCTTTTGGGCACACTATTTCTACCCATAGCATTTTTGTAAGTGAATCTATTTCTCTTATATCCTCAATTTTACTGGACTGTATACCCTCTCTAACATACAGAGTCACTCAACCTCTGACCCTTCCCTCCCTATCCTTCTGATATAATTTATTTCCAGGAACCACTGTATCCCACTGATTTTCCTCATCCCACCAAATTTCTAAAATGACCAAAGTGTCCATGTTCTCCTCTGACACTAAGTATCTATGTTCTCCTCTGACACTAAGCATTCCTGGTCCCCCATTTTACCTCGGACACTTCTAGCATTTGTATATAAACATCTATAAATTTCCAGACACGTTAGGCCTACAACCTACCTCCTGTGGCCCCTAAACCTTGTAATGCAGTCAATATTATTTGACACCTTCTCATTGGACAGTCCTAATCCATTTCCTTCTAGAACAGTAACAGCTACCCCTTCATCTCTTACAAATGAGCCATCCCGAACCAAAGACATTTCATCTCCTGCAAGGTTTCCCCCAAGATTTAGTTTAAAAACTGCCCTGCCGCATTTTTAAGTGCCAGCAACCTGGTTCCTTCTCGGGACAAGTGGGGGCTGTCTCTTTGTACAGGTCCTGCTTGCTCCAAGCATCCCAGTGCCTCACAAATCCTTCCTCATCATCTCATCCATGCATTGAGACTCCTAATTTGTGCCTATCTAGCTGGTCCTGTGCGTGAAACAGGCAGCACTTCTGAGAAGGCTACCCTGGAGGTCCTGGTCTTGAGTCTCCTACCTAGCAGCCTAAATTTTTCCTCCAGGACCACACAACTACATTTCCCCACACTGTTGGTGCCAACTTGTACCACAACCAAAGGCTCCTCCCCAGCACTGTCTACCAGCCTATCTAAACCAGGTGTAATGTCCACTACCTTCACACCAGGCAGGCAAGTCACCATGCGGTCAGTATATCGGTTCACAACCCATCTATCTACATGCCTAAGGATTGAATCCCCACCTACAAAGAGTGCATGTAAATAAAACCACCATAGAGCACAGAAATGCATCTTTCTTGACATACCTTTAGAAACTGCTTTAAATTCTCATCTTCATGTAACCAGTCTTTGTACAGTGTAGTCCACTGAGACACCAGGTGTAAAACTTTACGTTTTCTACAGGAAATATCTAGGATTTCTTCCTTGCCTTGATGGTTTTTAGCACAATAAGTATACTATATGTTAAGGAACAAAAATACAAGAAGGCATGAAATCTCAAGAAGAAACAGAAAATACCTGTTTGGATATTCTGCCCCCTTCTTATCATTCATATTTAATGTTTACTTAGCACTAGTAAATGCAAAGAACAAAAATGTGAGACTCTCTGCAGCTTAAAATCTAAGACTGAACAAACCCATACATTTATACCTGCTTTTTAAACAAGCAGCCCCCACCACCGTGTACTCCTATATTTGTCTTATCCTCCTTCCAATACACTTTGGGCAGTGTTCACAATATCCCCTTTTATCCTCAGAACAGCCCTATGAGGTAAGGTCAGCTGAGAGTTAGTGACCATGTACAACACACTGGCCAGTAAACAACACTGGTTCTCTAAGACAGGTTCCCACCCATTCACTGGAGGGGCCATTTGTATCTAGGAGGGGGTGGAAGCAAGGATGATTTGGGGCAATTGGGCCCAGCAACTGGCTGTCAGTCAGTAAGCTCTCAAGCAGCTTCCTGCACAAGTACTACTTCAGATGATTACTAAAGTTCTTCATAGTGTTTGCCCTGCCTCCTTCAATCATTAGCATTTATTGTGTCTCATGTGGACAACTAAAGTTGTGGCTATCCCATATTTCTGTGCATTGCATGAAGAAGATACTGGCTTTGAATGGAACATGTCACCTTCATTTTTGTCAAAGAAAAGTTATTCCATACTCTAGATTGCATGAAGAAGATACTGGCTTTGAATGGAACATGACACCTTCATGACACCAAGCCTGCTCTCTCATTTTTACCACTGTTTCCCTCAGGATGCCAGAACATACTGCTGGTAGCAATAGTTTAATGCCAAGTTACCACTGATAGTGTATCAGCCACATCCCAGCTGTAAATCAGGCAACACCTTCCCTATCAAATAAATGTCCAGTAGCCCCTTTATGCCATCAAGACATGAAAGGCAGCTGAACTGGAAGAGCTCCTGCAAAGTACTATCTGAGAAAAATGGCATTCCTGCGAACAAGCATGTTAGCGAAGCAGAGAGCTCCCAAACTGAATCTAGCCATCAACAGTTAGAGGCAGGAGGAGGAAGAAGAGGCAGGAAATGAAGACAGTCAATCCCTCTCTCTTGCACTTGTTGAAGGATATTGCCTAAGCAGTGCCTGACACAAGTCATCTGTTGTCATGAAGACTGTGTAAGTGAGAAGGAAGTCATCCAGGAGAGTTTCTGTAAAGAAAGATACAAAAAGAAGTTAGATAACTCTTGTGTAGAGCAGTCAAAATGCTACTACTGGTACCCATGAAGTTAAGACAGGGCCAGTTCTGGTTCTTGGGGAGGGCCCTCTTCTGCCAATGCTCCCTGCATGCACCTCTTTTTCACCTATTCATGTGCCCCTCCCCCTACTGGCTGCCCATGTATCCTTCTCCTGCTCTCCTACTGCCTTGTATGCCCTTTTTCTGTCAGATCTGGTTGCTGCATGTGGCAGGAAGTACAGGTTGTAGGAAGGCTTGCAAGTCAGCAGGTGGGGGAAGGGAACCTGGTCAGGGTGGCTGTGGTAGTGGGCCTGCCAGATGCCCTGGGCCTTGGCAGCGGCTCCACATCAGGGTATGCTGGAACCCAACCTGAGTGAGGATTTTTTAAAAAAGAGGTGTTGAGTATAAAATATTATTCAGCATTCTTTATCTTTGAGTAAATCCATAAATCAGAAAAATATCAGAATTACATCCCTGTAGCCAACTCACTTTTTTTTTGAGAGAGAAGCTGGAATAACCATCTTATTTTTCGATTATCCAAATTATGTAGTTAAGAACTACAGACAAACTAGAACACAGCATGATCTGGGCTATTTTGATTTTGTTTGTTTTGTTTTTGAAACATGCCACAGCATAAAAAGCCATAAGGAGGGAAAGATGTGCAAGTGTTCTTCCTGTGGACCATTAGAATTCTAACCCCAAACTCTTATTTATTTCAAGATGGGTAGCCATGTTAGTCTGTCTGTAGCAATAAACAAGATCCAGTAGCACCTTAAAGACTAACAAACTATGTGGCAGGGTATGAGCTTCCGTGAGTCACTGCCCACTTCTTTGGTATCTTACTTGAGTATCTGAAGAAGTGAGCAGTGACTCATGAAAGCTCATACCGTGCCACATATTTTGTTAGACTTTAAGGTGCTACCGGACTCTTGCTTTTTTCTTATTCCTACCCTATCCCACAAGAGGGCTCAGGGTGGCTCACAACACATGATAAAACAATAAACATTCATAAAAACATCAATCAATTCATCCCAATGAACTTCTGATTAAGAGTCCTTATCACCTAATTCAGTGACTTGTGGTGGGGATGATGCATGTCTGCACACATGAAAATTCTGATCCCCTATTTGGAAGATACTCAGGCAGCATACCCTACAGCATTTATGGATGCCAATTTTAAAAGCAGATCTTCTTCGCTGGACTAATTTTGGAGCAAAAATAATTTGGAGGTATTTAGATATAGTTCAAACTCTTTCGACATAAAATGTTGCAACTGTAAGTAATCAAGTAAGCTATTAGAGAATAAAATTTGACTCCCAATCAGTGAAGTTAAAAGAAAGCAGAGATTAGACTCCTAAATATTCTACTTATGTGGTAATATTTATTTGAATATAATGCTAGTAGTTTTTAAGGGGAAGCCACTCTATATTTTTCCTTCTGATAGGAAGAACCAAAGGAAGCTTTGTAGAATGTCATGTCTTCCGCAATACTGCCATACTCTTTAACTTATGCAATTTTAATGCACTACAGTGATAAAGAATAGCCCACTGTATCAGAATATTCACAAATAAGGAATATGCCAGAAAGAAGAAAATATTAAAAGATGGTCTCCTAACAATGACAGCAACAGGGGGAAAAATCTCTCTAGTAGGCTGACAGCCCTAAACTTAAGGATTTATTATTCTTGTAACCAACAATAAATTTATCGCTGAAGCATGTACTTTGATATGACTAATACATGTGAGGTTTTCATCTTCATAATCAAAATTAAACCAAATGCCTTTACAAGTACTGAAAATTCTAATTTACAGCATGTGTTATGAATATGTTAATAAATATTTCGCTCATTTTATCTATTCAGATTCTGTCTGGTAAATAGACAATGCTAGATTGTTTTAATAATTAATTCAACACATTTTATTCTGACAGCTTCTTCATTCTAACTGACTTCAAAGTGGAGTTTCCTAGTTTAAAGAACTGAAAGCCAATCATGCTTCATATGGAAACAGCCATATGTTTGAGCCATGAAACTCCATGGGTCCAATTTCCGCATCATTTGCGCATTCCCAGTTTTCACTGAACTCTACATGCATGTGTGAAATTGACTGTATAATAAGACCTCAGGAGGTTTAACTTTCATGATTTCCTAATCACTATTCTAAAAGGGCACATTCTTCTCCAGTGACTAAGAGTGACCTCAAAGCTTAAGTAGAGTGTTGATTGCAAATACTCTCTGAGGAACAGATAGAAACCTCCACATTCTCAGTTGTCAGTTTTTGATGAAGAGAAAATACATTCTACTTATAGCCAGCTCAGACTCTCTTGATACAACACTGAGACATCTACTTAGGGCTACTGCATTACACTTTTCTTATCATAAGGAGATAATATTGGCAAAGGGAAAAATCTGTACATACTAGAGGTGTGCAAAAAAATCATTTTTCCTCCCAATTAGGGTCTAATGGATCCTAAAAATATTAGTATTCCAAATATTCCCAAATACCAATATTGGTATTGTATTAGGATTCAGGTAAATGTTTACGAAACCCAAATTTATTCAGCTCCATTATACCCTATGGGAACCATCCCCATAGGGTATAATGGAGAATTGATCCAGGGGTATTCGTGTCTCGGAGGGGGGGCTGTTTTTTGAGGTAGAGACACCAAATTTGCAGCATAGCTGCTGGTGCCTCTCTTCAACTGCCAAAAACTGGGGGGGGGAAGGGGGGGGGAAACTCAACCCAGGATATTACTATGAACCAAAAAGGGCTAAGCTAAACCATATATATAAAAGTACAAATATTTATTAAGGTGTACACATGCAGATTTCCAGAGAACAGCAAGGAGAGATAAGGAGGCCTTCCTGAAAGAACAGTGCAAAGTAATAGAGGAAAACAATAGAATGGGAAGGACTAGAGATCTCTTCAAGAAAATTTGAGAAATCAAGGGAGCATTCCATGCAAAGCTGGCCATGATAAAGGACAAAAATGGTAGGG